CCCTCACTGGGGTCCCATCGATCAAAGTCGGCCCAGGAGCCACGTCCTGGTCAGCACCCAGCAAAGGTGCCATTGGACCATGCTCGGGCACAGCCTCGAGTCGTGTTGTGGTCCTCTTGAGCAACCAACGACTTGTGGTGGGAGCCGCTGATACCTCATTTTCAGCAGATTTGTTTATCGCCAGCCTAACAGTATTAATACAATGGAGTTTCAACCGTAATATATAAAACACTAGTGGAAAACACATTTCACGACTACTGCATAGCATCGCGAATATCGCGTTTTTCACCGAGTTTTACGCCACTTCACGTAGTACGGTCGTGAAACTTGTCATTTTCCCTACCATATGTAGTTAACGCAGGGTAGGAGTTTAGTTTTCCTCGCTGCAGCTGTTTGGTTCCCTTCGCAAGGCCCTTGACACAGCTCCGTTATCGTGCAAAACATGGACATGATCACCGATAGCATCTTGGCCAGCAGTTCCAAGTCACCATTGGTAAACTCATCATATCTAAACAGACAAGATATACAGAAGCCTCGGAGGTTCAATTCCAAGCACGGACATTTTTCCAGCATTTTCGAATGTCGCGACTTTTTTTAGGCACTATATGGACCAATCCTATATCGTGTAGTCCTTACTCATTACCATAACATACATTAAACTGTACTTCAATTCTCATGAATATTTGACAATATTCATATTCTTGGAATTTACTCCAAAGTATATTTACTATCAAAACACTACGTCAGCAATGGACCACATATACAATATCGCGTTGAAATTTTATCTCAATTCTGGGTTAACTTCAACCATCAAAGTCGTCTAGAGAAGATTCGAACCACATATTAATCACAGAAGAGCACAGGAATGACATTAGGGCGCCCACAGCTGTGCGCCTAAACGTAGCCGGTAAACCCTGTCCTTGTCCGTGTGAAGGGATCTGTATTCTTCTCAGACTTTTATATCAACATATACCCACACTGATGTACATAACCGGTGAATATTTCGTTGCATATTATTACAAGCCTGAAGGGGCTATTCCTGGCGTTGTTGTTGTTGTTGTTGAAAAATACGAACGATTATATATTCATTTCAACACAACCAAGCAACTATCTAGCAATTTCTGATCTAGCCCTTCCAGAACACCTATCCCTCTAGATGACCAACCCACC